AGTCTCACAATGGAGAAGTTACTGGGCCTGCTTGAGCAAATCGATGAACAATGGGAGGACAGTGCTACAGTGCTATAGTGCTACTAAATACTATTAATCAATAGTATTTACATTTATGCCATGATTTGAAATGCCAGACATAAAGTTTTCTGACCTTTAACGAGGAGAGAAATCCAAGAGGAGGGAGGGGCTTTGAGAAAGAGAAAAAATATAGACACTTGAAGAGACTAAATTCAAATAGCTTTTCCTACCCTATAATTTGAGTCAACGTTTTTTTCCAAAATGGAACACCTGGATGAAACAGACTAGTCTCCAGATGGATAATATAATGGTGATTTAAGAGGAAGGAAAGGTCTGGTGTAGGGAATGACATACTCAGTGGGTTTTGATTACCTACAATTTCCATATAGTTGCTTTAGGCCTGAATAATCAGGGAGATTTTAGACTAAAATCCAACAACACGCAATGAATAAAATTTGGTTGATTTGAGTAACTATCCGGGATTTGTTTAAAATTATAGCAATGCTTGAGTAGCAAATGGTATATTTAATGAGCAGAAGGGACTTGTTAAGTGATCTGCATGTATCTCCCAATTTATGCTCTTCGGAAGGAATATAACTCATTTTCAAAACTAAACTATGGGGAAGGGGCGGTGGAGCAACAGTACAGTAGGTAGGGTTCTTGCCTTCTCTGCAGCCAATCTGGGTTTGGTCTCCTGAGCACTACCAGGAGTAATTCCTGAATGCAGAGCCAGGAATAACCCCTGAGCATTGCTGTGTGTGCCCCCAAAACAAAACAAAGTAACAATAAAAAAATCACTGGGTTAGAGTTGTGTCTCAATCTTAGAGCACTGTATCACTGTCCTCCCTCTGTTCAATGATTTTCTCAAGCGAGCCCAGTAAGGTCTCCATCCTGAGACTTTGTTGTTACTGTGTTTGGCATATTGAATACATCACAAGTAGCTTGCCAGGCTTTGCTGTGCAGGTGAGATTCTCGGTAGCTTCCGGGGCTCTCTGAGAGGGGCGGAGCAATCATCTCAGAGAACATGTGCAAATATAAGGCTCTTATTTTTACCCTGGCACCTCCGAAACCAAAAACTTAACTATTGCTTACAAAAACCAGATTCATATTAGATACATCAAGACTTGACTTTAGTAAAGCAAATAACTAGTATCCAAAAACCAGCATGAGAACTTCTAGTATATATCCTACTGCTGGAGATTACAAAACATTTGCAAAAATCACCAGGCATTTCTGTTTTTCAAAAAGGTTCTCATGTAAATAGTTAGATAATGCTATGAAAAATTAGCAAAAATTTCATATCACATAGAAACTTTTCAGATATGGTCTATATTAAATGGGCTTTACAGCCATGTTCTAGTGTTTCTTGTCAAGGTAAAAGAGTTTGTAGACTTATTCTGATATTCATGTGATTGTTTGAAATACAAAGGAGTAAAATTTTAGGAGTTAAGTGGTGTGGACAAAAGTATTGGGGTTGATGTGAGATGTAGAAAGATAGTATCTTATAAACGTTTTAATATTAAATATTTTGCACTGTGATTTACAATACTGTTAATGATAGAGTTGCATGTATATAAAGTTCCAAAGTCACATTCACCATGAGAGTCTACTTTGCTCCACCAGAACAAATGTTTCTTTTTTAAAAAGTTGAGTATCAGCACATATATGCTGCCTGAGCCCATGTGCTGCTTGTGCCCACGTGGCCGAGCACATGTGGTGCCCAAGTACATGTGTCGCCTGCATCTCCCCTCTTGAGATGTGTACTTTCATGCTTTCCTGCCTAATGCTGAGATGTGTGTAGGTGCTCTCTCCACCGTTGGAGAAGCCCGTGTTCTCTCTTGAGCGCGTTACTCTCTTGTTCACCCTCTCTCCCTCCACACCTTAAAACCCTCCAAATAAAATCCGTTTTACTTCAAAAATAAATAAATAAATTAATTAATTAATTAAAACGTTCAGTATCAACACCTCTCATTCTGATCATCAGTATTACTTAGAATGTGATTTAAATTATTGGAGTAGGGTCATCTTGTATTTCCAGTCAACTTTTAATATACTGCTCAATGTTTCAAAATGTTTTAAATTCGGGGCCATGGAGAAAATACATGTTAAGAGTATATACCTTGTATGTGGTCACCCACAATCAATACACAGTACCACAGTCCTTCAAGTATTGCTGTGTGCATCCTTGGAGGTCCGGAGTACACCAATATGACCTACATAATTTCTGGCATTGGAGGGTTTGAGTAACATCACATCCTCAGGCCTGCACAATGAACTACTGGATCTCCAAAAGGGGTCCTCTGGTCCTCTGAGCATCACCTGTCAGATCCTTCTCACAAAAAGGTATGGAATTTTAGGGTTAAAAAATCCCTTTTTTGTTATAATTTAACTTTCACTGTTCTATATTGAGGTAACAAGGCAGAAAATTTCAGCCCTTGGAAATTCAAAAAATTAGATGAACCTTACTTTCTGGTGCTAGCAATTTCAGAAGGCAGTTGGGAAGCTCAAGTGAGATTATACGTTATAAATGTCACTTATGTTTCCACTTATAAAAATAAAACTAATGCTAAAAATAATAACCTATATCCACATACATACGAATATGGACACATATAACACACACATATATATAACATCACTGTATCACTATCATCCCGTTGTTCATTGATTTGCTAGAGCAGGCACCAGTAATCTCTCCATTCATCCCAGAACTGAGATTTTAGCAGCCTCTCCTTACTCGTCCTTCCCAACACTGCCGTATATTGGAGGCTCTTTCAGGGTCAGGGGAATGAGGCCCGTTACTGTTACTGTTTTTTGCATATCAAATACGCTATGGGGAGCTTGCCAAGCTCTGCTATGTGGGCAGGACACTCTTGGTAGCTTGCTGGGCTCTCCGAGAGGGACAGAGAATGTATATAAGAGAATATAAGCAACTATGTTAAAAGCAAACACATGTGTGCTGCTTTAGGTACATCAGTGTGCTAGACTATAAGAGGTCATGTGCTTCCGGGAGCTTTGTTTTATAGTCTCTGGATCTTGGCCATTGATGGGATTACATGGCACCGGGGGACGGTTTGTGGGTGTGACTGCCAAGCTACTGGAGAATGGGGGATCTGGGTAGAGGAGGCTCAGTCCTGATCCAAGCAGACTTGGAGATCTCATCCCTGGTTCCTGCATACCTGGGTTCCTCTGTTACATATAACAAAGTTGGAATAAACCCGGCACACAGTGAAAGCTCAGTAAAAGCCAACTAGTATCTTCATCAGCCTGAAAGACGAAACTATCATGAGGCACATGGACCTCTACGGAGAACAGCAATGAAAGAAGACAATAAAGATTCAGACTATTCACTGAGGTCACATAAAAGAACTTTCTCAGGTTTGAGCTCTTTATCCTCATAACATCAGCAAGGTTAGTTTAAGGAATTGTGTGTGGTCCGACAGCAAGTAGATGGCTGAGGAAAAATAAATTCCCTGCCTCTGTATTTCCAGGTAGATCTGACTAGTCTTCAGAATAACATTTTACTGTGATGTCATGTCACACATTTCCCTAAGAGAACCCATATAGATACATCTGAAGTGCACTGGGTTGTTTATTTGCCATTTAACTAAGTGATCTCCAGATAGGACAGAAAAAAAGTTTAACACTAAATGAAAGGCTTATTTATAGTCATATATCAAGAGATTTAGACAAATATTCATGAGAGAAAAACCTTTCTCAGGAAGAGACAGTCATAGACTTTCGACTCTTAAAAAAGTCAATGGGGAAGATGGGATTTTGCATTTTCCACTCTTCTTCAATTTCTAATACTTTCCATTCCCAGTGCACTAACTTTGTAAGTCCCTTTCACTCATAAAGCAGCAAATAAAGTATGCTAGGTTAATAACTTATTTCAGAACAAATAGATTAAAATCAGAACTTTGTATGACACAGTATCTTAAAAGCTCTAAAGGAGATTAAAGAATGTGAAGAACATGTAAGGGTGGAAATTTAGGAGTTAAGAATAATATCAAGAGAGCAATTTAAGGACAGGACATTATGTCAGACCTTTGAAAAGATACCACATATGCTGCCTTTGAGCCAACTCAGAGACTCCCCCGCATCCCCTCCATCCATTTACTTGATTATGTGATTCATGAATCATCTCAAACTCAAAGCCCAATGCTATCGAAAAAAATCTGTTTTCCTGTTCAACACTTTGATATATACCACCTCCTTTAAAGATGTTCATTTTTAAAAGTTTAATCATGTGTTATTTTCATTTGCACTTAAAGGAGAACCAAACATTTTCTCTTAGGTAACCAGTGACTCTGTATTCTGGGCTATATGTTTTCTTTCTTTTTTGGATTTTGGGCCACACCCGGTGATGCTCAAGGCTGACTTCTGGCTCTGTACAAACTCAGGAATCACTCCTGGCAGTGCTCAGGGAGGCAATATGGGATGCCGGGGATAGAAACCTGCGTCGGCCACTTGCAAGGCAAATGCCCTACCTACTGTACTATTTCTCTAGCTCCTGTAGATTTTCTTTCTAATGTGAAGAATTTAGATATTTCACTTGCCCTGCATTCATACGAGCTTATTGTTCTATGCATGTCAAACAGTTCACTCTCAGTTTCTTCTCTTGCTGCCTTTCCCTCACCCCAAATCTCACAGAAGATCTAAGGAACAGGTACTCTAGGCCTTTGATTTCCTACAAATCTCCTTTCCCCACCAAATGTTCTCATTTGTGCATAACATACACCATAAAAACTGTGCTGTTCCTCAATATTTTAGAAATTGAAAACATTAAAAGATACGTCTAATTCTCAAAAAAGAATGAATATGGTAATGTGCAGGTTTCTTTGGAAAAAAACAGTTTCTATGATTTAGAAACATATAGAAATGACAACTTTGGGTAGAGGGTATTAAAAGTCATTACCAGAAAATGGTACTGTGGTAAGTCAAGTCTTTAATGAAAAACAAATAGTTGGTAAGTTTACCAGAATTCTGGGAATCCATGTAGCAGCAACATAAGGGGCTTGCCTCTTTCCCCAGCAGCAACATAGTGAAATCTTAACCCCGAGTCCTGTAGCAGAAAAAAGAGGGCACAGAATTTTAGTAATGTTTTGTGTTGACTTGTTGAAGTAGTACTTCAGTATCACTAGTCTAATGATTTTTATACTAGGAAATAAAATATTAATTTTTAAATTAAAAAAACCCTCAAGATTCAGGATAATCTGACAGATTCATTTTGTTCACATTCCCCTCCTATACCCCTCCCTTCTAGCACTTACAAAGTCCATATTAGGAGCTTTTGACACAATGTCACAATTTATGACTTTCATCTTACTGATATGTCACATTTTATCTCATTTCAATTCTGCAGGACATGTAAATAATTCTGATTTGAATTTGTATTCCTGCCATGCTTCCTTCTAAGTCAAGTACTTTTCTCAGCTTGCCCGTCAAGAGCTATGCCATCAGTTATATAATTCACACCTCCATTCCTTATTTTTAGGTCTCTCCTTCCCACATTATTATTTTAAGTTGGGAGTTGCATGCACAGTTCTCCTGGCTGCCTGCTTCTCTCATTATGCCTGCGTATCTCTAACAGCAGAATGCTCCCAGTGTTCAAGATTACATTCTGTGCATGAGAAGACAGTACAGGGAAAAGAAAGAGGATGGCACTACAACAGGATACATCAGAAACAACACAAACTGATACCAGGGAAGTGGATAAAATGCAAACAAACAATATAAAAACAAAAACATAAAGTTGGCAGAGGGAGACCCTGAGAATCAAAAGCAGAGAATGGGTTTTATATCCGGTAATTTAAGTAACTTAAATTTCAAGTGTAAAATCAATCTTAAAAGTTACCTAGTTTGAAAAAGTTCAATTGCATCACCTTTGCACATTAAGAGAACAAGAGCTAAAGATATTAACATGGTTCTTCAAGGTGGAACCCTATCTTGCCCTACCTCTCCAAGTTCTTCCCACTTTTCCCTTTCTTTGGGAACTCTTTTGGAGAGCAGAGTCAGGAGAAAAGCTTTCTATGGACTTCCAGGAAAAAAATTCGTAACGATGCTTTTTCATTATGGATAATTCATCAGGTTGGATGAAAATACCCAAATCTGAAAATACTCAAATGCAGAACACCCTCCTAGAAATCCAGTTATCTCTTCCTGGTTGTGAGTCTTAGAAGATGAAGTGTTGTGTATACTTGATTGGAATCAGTTAAAAATAATTCTTTGCATTTACTACGTGTCATGCACCAATCCAAGTTTTGGTTTTGCAAATATTAATTCGTTTAATTGCCACAACAAGGGCAAGGCTGAATAAGCTAAGAAATAAGTGTCCTTCATCCTCTCAGTGCCAGGGCTGGCCAATTTAGCCACTTAGAAGAATCCTAGATACAAGGACATAAATGTCTCCTATGTGAGACTAATTTCGAAAGGCACTTGCGTTGGACTGCAGGGGGCACTACAAAGTCCACTCCCTCCGTTCTCGGGAACGACACTATCTGTGGGCTGTGAGGAGGCAGGGGCTTTGTAAGAGTCTGCATGTGAGGCTGACAGTTACTTCTTATCCCATTCTCTGGGTTTCTGATTCCTGAAGTCTCCTTCCTTTTCCCACAAACACTCCTTTCCCCGCTGACTGTTGCACGTTGCTTAGCTGACCTACGGATGCTCCCCTCCGCAGATCTGAATACAGCGACTTACTCTGTTTACTCCCAGCCGCTCAAATTTGGTGGAGAACCGGCCTCCTGAGACAGCGGGGCGCCGCCAGGAACAATTCCCTACAGCTAGGTGATGCCTAAAGGGCACCACGGTGAACGGGAGACAGTTTCCCACGAGATGATGGGATTACTCGGCATGGTTTGGGGGGCGGAGTGGAGGGGGGATGAGGACCGGATAGGAATAGAAGGGGAAACCGCGCGCGCGCGCACGCACACACAGACACAGACACACACACGCACACGCACACACACACGCAGACACACACACGCACACACGCACAGTCCGGACCCTGCTCCCACCGCGCGCCGCCCCCTCTGGCCTCTGCCCACCGCGCGCCCTCTGAGCCCGGGGAACTCTAGGGGACGCCGGGTCGGGCTGCGGGGAAGGAGCTGCCCGGCGCCCCGCGCTGCCCGGGTCACGTCGCCTCCCTCCCGACACAGCCCGGCCCGCGCCGGCCTTCACCTTGATCCGCACGTAGCAGTGGGTGCCCAGCGAGGGGTCGTTCAGGCAGGCGGGGGGCTGCTCCCGGGCGGCCCGGCGGAAGGTCTGCGCGGGTCCCTTGCCGATGCTCCACAAAAGTTTGAGCAGGTAGACGGAGGCGCAGAGCCCGCAGTAGCTGTAGACCAGGCACCAGAAGAGCAGGGAGCGGATCGCGACCATCAGGCGGGGCAAGCAGCCCCGCAAGCGCGCCATCGGGCGGCAGCGGCGGCGGCGGCGGCGGCTCGGGGCCCGCTGCCCTTCGCGAGGCGCGGGGAGCCGCGGCCGCCCCTCCCGCTGCGGAGCCGGGCCTCGAGCGCCGCGGTGCGTCAGGCCCGTTCGGCGCGCGCCTCCCCCGGAGTCCCGCGTCGCCGCCGCCGCCGCCGCGGGCTCCAGCACCCTCGCCCCGCTGCCGGGCGACGCCGGACGCCCCCCCCCCCCCCCCCCCACACCGCCACCACCACCGCCGCGCACCGCCAAGTCCAACCGAGGCTGGGCCAAGCTGGAGACCGCCCTCCTGCTCCCCCAGCGCAAATGCGTTCCCAAGTCGGCCGGCGCCGCCGCCGGGGCAAACGCAGGCGAGACTCGGCGCGAGAGACCCACGTGCCAGCCACGGAGGAAGCGTGGGGTTCAGATTTTCCCACCGCCCCGGGGAACTGTTGAGGCTTCGGTGGACCTTTTTGCGGATCATGGGATTGCGGGGTGCGGGGAGAGGAGGCAGGGAATCATGTCCTTCCTGCGTGATGGACTTGCTCACCTGATTCCCACTCATCTGCAGAGCGGAGTTGGCATTCTAAGACTGGCTTCATTCAGTCTCTTAGCAGTGTCCGTCCTAGTCGGCTCTGCTTCAGAAGTCAAGTCTAAATTGTTCCTCCCCGTGACACTCAAGGACAAACATTCATGCAGTGTGAAGTATTTTTTTCTTGCCTTCTTTCACTTAGTGTAATGAATGCGAGATTCGGCTCTTTGTTCTGTTGAATTGGCTCCTCTTTTTTTTCTTCTACTTTAATTGCTGATTCGCGTTCCATTGAGTGATGTACTGTGACACATACATATCTCAGTCCAGGGACATTTGAGCTGTCTTGTTTGGGGGTGATTATGAATAAAGCCACCGTAAATATTCATGTACAATTTTTGGTTCCGGAGATTAGCAAAACATGCACCCAGTCCTTTGAATGATCTCTCTGGCCTTTCCCAGATCTTTTGAAGTAGGCCACTCCCCTGGTGTGAGGTGATATTTCGTTGTGTTGCGTTTGCATTGTTGGCCATCTGCCTTCTTTGGAGAAACATCTGCTCATACCTCTGTTTTTTTAATTTTTAAGTTTTGTGTTTTAAATATCTTGAATATTTGCTGTCAGATGTATAGTGAGGTGAATATTTTCTCCCACTCAGTAGGGTGTCTTTTAAATTTAGCTATGGTTTATCTCTTAATGCAGTAACTTTTTAGTTTAATGTAGTTTATTTTTGCTTCTGTTCTTTTAGCTAATGCTTTGGAACATTGAAAATGCCTCTAATGTCATGGATAATTCTATGTTTTCCTTGAGGTAATTTGTAGTTTTGAGTCTGATATCAAAACTTCAATGCATATTTGAATTAACTTTAGGGAAGTATGAGATAATGGCCCACTTCATTTTTTTCGCAATTGACTAACCAGTTTTCCCATCACCAGTTACTGAAGCAGCTTTTCTTGCTCCACATAATGCACCTGGTTCCTTGTCTTACCTGTTCAAATAGTTGATGGTTTATCTTGGGGCTCTCATTCTATTCTGAGATTCTGCTTTTATTCCAGTACCAAAGAGTTTTGATTATTATAGCATTATGGTATAACTTAAAGCCAGGGAATGCGAAGCTCCCCCATTTATTTACTTTTTTGTTTTCCATGATTGCTTTTTTTCAGGGAGTTTTGCTACTCAATACAAACGTTAGCAACATTTGTTCCATGTCCCTAAAGAATGCGATGGAAATTTTGATGGGATTGCACTGTATAGTGCTTTAGTAGGGTGGTCATTTCACAGCGACTTAAGAGTTTTGTGTGACAATTTCACCCTCTTTGTTTAGTCCCATGAAATGTGATAGTTTTTGGACACAATTGTAAATGGGATTTTAAAAATACTCTCTCTCCTTGGAAAATGGGCACTGGTGGAGGGATGGGTATTTGATCATGGTATAACCGAAACCCAAGCACAAAAATTTGTAAATCTACAACTGTACCTCATGGTGTTTCACTAATTAAAAAAATAATAAAAAAAAATAAAGACAAAAAAATTCTCTCTCCCACCTCATTGTTTGCATATAAATTTTATGCAACATTTCTATGTATTAATTTTATGGCTTGCTACTTTATCATGGGCTGAAGCAATAGCACAGCAGTAGGGCATTTGCCTTGTGCGCAGCCAGCTGGCCAAGCCGGGTTCGATTCCTCTGCCCCTCTCGGAGAGCCCGGCAAGCTACCAAGAGTATCTCGCCCGCACAGCAAAGCCTGGAAAGCTACCCGTGATGTATTCAATATGCCAAACACAGTAACAGGTCTCATCGTGGAGACGTTACTGAGCCCGCTTGAGCAAATTGATGAATAACGGGAGGACCGTGACCATGACTTTATCATATTTTTTCTAAAATTTGGTAGTTTGGGAGACTTTTTGCAGTCCTGAGGGGGTTTAATGTATAACTTATGTAACTGCAAATAGTGATTGACTTTTCTACAACTTGAAGACCTTTCTCTCTCACCTTACTGCTGTAGTATGGATTTCCTATATAATATTGGTAAGAGTGGGCATCTTTCTTATGCCTGATCTTGGGGGAAAGGCTTCTAGTTGAGCATATTAGCTGTGGGGCTGTGATATGGCCTTTACGTTCTCTCTGTCCTAAGAGCACTCCCCACAATGCTCAGGGACCTGTGCAATGCCAAGTACAAACCCAAGACAAGAAATAAAATAAAGAACAAACCTCAAGGACTCAAACATACTAAGCATATGCTCTATCATTTGAGTCCAGATTTGATCGTCAGCAGTAAATGGTCCCTTAAGCATCAGCAGAACCAATACCCGATTAGCTCACCAGGAACAATCTCTAAGCACCACTGGCCATACCCCCATTTTGTTTTGAGTGGGAGTGGTGCAACACAACTGGCACTGCTCAGGGAACTGTTGCTGTGGCCACAGCGCTAACTGGACATATCTCTGTTCCAATCAAACTAACAGATAGGAATAATGAATCTGATGAACGAAAGGTACAGCCATGCTTAAAAGTGGCAAGTGTGTTGCTGAGTCATGTGTTGCTGGAGATTGACATTGTGCAAACATCTGTAATTACACAAATCTAGATAACGTAGCATATCACACACCTAAGAAATATGGAATATCCAGTGGTAGTCAATCATTTATATACACACTCTGTCATGGACCCAAACATCATTAAGTGATATATGATTGTAGTGCTTCAACTCCTGTTCTAGATCTCTTAGCGCATTTGCCTTGCACGCAGCCGACCTGGGTTCAATTTCTCCACCCCTCTCGGAGAGCCCAGCAAGCTACCAAGAGTATCTCGCCCGCACAGCAAAGTCTGGAAAGCTACCTGTGACATATTCAATATGCTAAAAACAGTAACAAGTCTCACAATTTGTTGTGAGACATTACTGGTGCCCACTCGAGCAAACTGATGAACAACGGGAGGACGGTGCTACAGTGCTATCTCTGTACTGTGTATTCTGGTATATTTCCATAGATATATTTTCTAACTCTCTAATTTTCTCCTCGACAGTATCTGATTATTTTAGCTCATTGAGATTTTTTTAAATGGAGTTTATCTCAACACTATTCTTCCTTAAGGTATCTTTTCTCCCCTTTAAATATAACCAGTCAAAAAAAAAGTCTTTTATTTTGTTAAATATTTTATAAATAGCTATGCTGGGAAAGGTAACATAAAGTATGACGTACTCTTTTATGAGTTCTTTTGCTCTCATTCACTGCGATTCTCTTTCATTCATTATTCATCTCTGATCGTGAGCTATTTATTTTGTGATGAACCTATTTATTGGCTACAGCTAACCTAGCACTTCTTGAGTCTTTTGAAATTGGTTTTCCCTAATTTTCCTATCATATTGTTGATCTATAGTACAACTATCATATTGTCACTCCTGGGGAATTATTTTAAGGTTGTGCTACTCTGAATCTCAGACTGCTGTCACCCCAACAAACTGTCAGGTAGAGGATGCAGGGGTTGAGGGGCTTGAGGGAATACCCTTGCCTCTTTTGAGACTGGAAATGCCTAAAAAAATGGGTCATATGAGAATATATTTGTAGTTTTAGAAACAAAATGTGCTTTCTAAATTTAATCCTAACAGAATCCCAACCAAAAGACTGTGTATCTTTAACTTTTAATTTTGATAATTTTTACAAATTAGGGTGACTGCAAATTACTTAACGACAGCTACTGCAGTTTAGAAATTTAGAAAGTTACTAGTGACAGCATAGTTTATAATCCTCTTAAACAAAAATGTAACATAATCTTTTATGAAAATATCTTTAGTCCACCTATAATTTTAATATAAAAGTTATGTGCATCTGAATTTGAAGAAAAAAATGTATACTTTTATCATCTAGATGAAGGGGGTATTTTCCAAAACAAGGCAGAATATCCAGAAATTATAAACGAAAATCCAGGCATGACTGCATCAAATTTACATTTTAATGAAAAGACAATAAAACCTCCAAAGACATTACACAAAATTGGCTGTGAAAGTTTCTAAGATAACTAATGGAAAATAAACTGATGAGATAAAAAGTCCAAGTCAAAGGTAGAATGACTGAAGGATATTAGTGACCAGGCAAGTCCTATGGTTAACAAACAAATTAAACAACCCCACTAGCAATTCCACAAAACAAGAATTCAATAATCATAACTTTTTCATTCAGACTAGCAGAGAATATGAGAACAATATAATTCAGTGCTAGTGGGAATAATGGGTAAGTGGGTGCCTTCAAACTTATAGGAAGGTAAACTGCTTTAATGTTTTCCTAGAATAGTTATTTGGCACTTACATTAAAGCTACCACTTTTGTAACTTCTAATGCAGCAATCCCATTTAGGAACTCTATTCTTAGCTCAAAAATAGAAGCACAGTCTAGTACAGATATATATAAAAATAATTTAGCTCATGGGGAAAAACACTAGGCTCAACAGAATTTAGGGATTAATAAAAATCAAACTACCCAGAAAGTGCTGTTATATATTTTTTAAAGATAATTAATCTATGTCTATGACTTAGATGCTTATGACATATTAAGAAAATCCAACTGCAGAATCACATGTATAACAATCACTGTCACTGTCCTCCCGTTGTTCATCGATTTGCTCGAGCGGGCCCAGTAATGTCTCCATTGTGACAAT